ATCGCCAGGCAACAAAAGGAGCTATTGTGGCGGGGAGGGGCGTGTTTGCAACAGCGTAGGGAAATCAGGGAGTGTGGAGCACTGGGTGCAGCCTCTTTTCTTAAAATAAGGATCCTAATTCAGGTCCTTCTCTGCCTCTGCCATATGCAAAGTGAGGCTTGGAAAGGGGCGAACCCAGGCGCTGCACAGACGTGCTCCCCGGAATGCATTTGTGTGTCTGGGATTTTCTCTCCATCCTTACCTGTGCCACCTGTGACACCCAACGCCCCCAAGGCCCCAGCCTTCCTTCCGAGGTCTCATGCCTTTTTCACTCACAGCCATATTCCCCCTCTCTCCTCCCCCGCCCCCACCGCACGCAACATGGGAAGCAGGAAGGCCAGGCTTTGATTTGGTTTCCTTCCTCTGATGATTCTGGGGTGCCCCAGAGTGGGCTAACATGTCACACAAATCTGTTTGGTTGTTGGGGTCATCCTCAATCCATATCCCTGCCCGGGGTCTCTCCACTGGGCACCATTTATCACCTGGTAATGGATTCTCAGTGCTGTGTCCACCACCCAAAGCCTGGAGCTCAGACTCACAGCACAGAAGGAAATGTTAGCTAATGGAGAGGTACTACAAAGGAGACTTTGAAAGCATATTGTAGATGGCTTCTAAAAGCCCTTAGCTGTGGGAAAAAAAAAAAAAAAAGCTGTTAGCTAGGCCTCTTCAGACAGCGCCCCCTAGTGGCCACTCTCTCCCTAGCTGGTCCCCCACTCACCTGATCACTATGTTACAGAGACCCAGTCAGCCAGGAAAAGGGGGTTGCCCTGGGCCGTGTCCCTCCCACCCAGAGTCCAGACACCCTGACCATGGCACCTACCCTCAGGGGGAAGGCAGCCCTTTTGCATTATCACTCAGCAAAGGAGCTCCTCCTGGCCCATTCATTCCCGTCACTCTTCGTTTATATCATTGAGTCCCTCCTGTGTGCAGGGCCCCAGAAACACAGCTGGGCCAATCGGGCCTCTACTCCCTAATTAGAGATAATTAGAGACTGTCAGCTCTCACTGCTCCTGTCTCAGCCTTTCCCCCCCACCTCTGTGCTCGGCCTCTCGGCCCCTTCGCTTTTCTGGGGTACCAGGTGCCTCCAGTCCCTGAGCCCCTCCTGGCTTCCCAAGGGCAGATGGCTCCTTCCGGCCACAGCTTCCTCCCTGCTCCAGGTCGGCAGCGACTGTCCTCCATCCTTCCCCTGACACGCCAGGCAGGTTGGCAGGCCTCTACCTTCAATGAGGTTTCGTTTCCCCTTTGCCTCGCTGTTTCGGGGAGACGTCCAAGAGAGAGAGGCAGAAATGTCTTTAGTCACCAGTCATGGAAACGTGTCCTTTTTTCTCCAAATTAACGTGTATTCTGCCTTTTCACACCCTCGTTCTGCTGCCCCGAGGCCAGGATACTCTCATGGCTCTCCCTCCCTCCTCACAGTGGCCCTGTGGCAGGCAGCTGTCTTTACCTCTACCCCTCCGAGGGGACCCAGCGCCCTCCCTCGTTGGTCAGTCAGAACTTAACTCCCTCACATCCCACATCCGCCATCTCCGCCCTCGTCTCCTCCATCACTTCCTTAAGTCCCCTGTCTATCGGCATCGCCCAGAACCTCCTGGACGAGGCGTTGAGTCAAAGCAACGGTTTCCTCTCCTCTGGTCCCACACTCCCCCGCCCAGATGCCATGCGGCTGAGACTTTCCAAACATCCCCGAGGGGGGGCGGTGGACTTTTCCAAAACATCCCGAGGGGGGGGGCGGGTGCTCCAGCCCCTCCCTGTTTGGGGCACGGGCCGCTTGCCGCTTCTCCCCTCCCCCGTCCCAGAGCCAAACCCCCAAGGGCTGCAGCTTTTCTGTTTTTCCCAGGGCCCCCTGACCCCTGTGAGAAAGGTCCTCGGGGGAGCGGGAACACCCCCGGGACATATTTCTCAGCGGGGGCGAGGGCCTCCCGGCCCCCTCTGTGCCTGGGACGCACGCTGAGGCCCCGGCACCCCAGCTCACTGGG